TCTGGTATTCAGTACCCACTACCCACACTGTACTACCTGGTATTCAGTACCCACTACACACACTGTACTACCTGGTATTCAGTACCCACTACACACACTGTACTACCTGGTATTCAGTACCCACTACACACACTGTACTACCTGGCATTCAGGACCTATTACAGGAGTATGCTTTTCTTTCCAAAGGCGTGGAGCTTTTCATTTTATCTCACCTAACTTTGAAGAAGAGTTTTATAGTTACTTACTTGTATAAATTTTTTTTTCTAAAGACAGGCTCTCACTATGTAGCTCTAGTGGGCCTAGAACTCACTATGTAGACCACAGTGGCTTTAATCTCTCTGAGATCTACCTGCCCCTACCTCCTGAGTGTTGAGATTAAAGGCCTGTGCCACCATGCCTGGCCTATAAAATCTTTTTTTTTTTTTTGGTGGGGGGGCGTTTTTTGAGACAGGGTCTCCCTGTAGTCCCAGCTGTCCTGGAAGTATGTAGACCAGGCTGGCCTTGAACTCAGAGATCCACCTGCCTCTGCCTCCTGAGTGCTAGGATTAAAGGTGTGTGCCACCATACCCAGCCATATAAAATCTTCTTTAAAAATCAGCCTCTAATATGGGATTTGTAAATTGGAAAATACTAAGCTTTTGGTAGGATCACTCTGGGAACTCAAACACACCTACTGTTGTTGGCTTTCCAAACATGACTAGTACTGTATGAACCATCTCTAGAACTTACAGTCCATAGCACGTGATTAGTTGTAGGGGCTGGAGAGATGGCTCAGTGGTTAAGAGCACTAGCTGCTCTTGCAGAGGACCAGGGTTCGATTCCCAGCACCCACATGTTGGCTAACAACTGGCTGTCATAACTCCAGTTCTAGGGGAATCTGATGCCCTCCTACTGACCTCTGTGGACACTGCACAACACGGGTATACTCCCATTCATGCAGGCAAAACATTCATACACATACAATAAAAATAAATCTTAAAAAAAACAACTGGGGTAGTTAAATTATACTTTGCAATGCTATAATGTCAAATACCTGACAGAGATAACTTAAAGGCCCAGTTTCAGAGGGTTCAGTCCATAACTGCCTGGCCCTTGTGCTTCAGTCATGGTGGTAGGTATGGGGTGGAATAGACGTTTTTCACCTCACAGAGGACAGGGAGCAAGAGAGCAACTTACAGAAAATGCCCAGGGCAAGATACAGCCCTAAAGGCCTCCCGAAAACCCACTTTCTCCAACTAGGCTTCACTTCCTAATCTTCATCACTTTCCATATTATAAATCTATCAAGGGATTAATTCATCGATGAGGCCAGAGCCCTCAGGATCAAGTCACTTCCCCAAGCCTGTTAGCTGGTAGCCTAGTCCCTAACACAGGAGACTGTGGAGGACATAACCCAAACCATAACAATGCTTCATTTTAAATGCTTACCTTTCAGAAAAAAAGAAGTATAATTTGGAATTTCATTTTCTCTATCGAAAAATACTTACACAGCAATCAGGTTGTCAAAATTTATTCTGCAATTTAAAAATCAGAATTTTGGTGTGTATTAAAATCTATGGCCATTTCTTCTGAAGATTTCATTGGCTCAGCTCCTAATTTCCAGTGCGTGAAGATTCAGGGTCAGAGAAGGCGTGTGGGTAAACACATTCACTTTGTTTATCCTGTTGGGTCCCCCTGCTTCAAAGGACCGAAGACAGAGCAGTGTTCAGAAACAGTACGGAACACGATCTGTGGGGTGCAAGTCACTATCTTACACTTTGTACACGAGGAAAGGAACGGACTGTATTCCAAACAGTGTGCTTGTCATTTCTGGTCTGAAAGGTTAAGATCTGGGTTGAAAATCCAAAGTCCAAAGATTCTTTAAGGAAACTCCTTTTCAGAGAATTCTGAACTTGTAGTAAGGAGCTGGGCAGCCAAACAACTCATCTGCTTGCCCGCAGGGACAGCAGAGCTTCTCAGTAGACAGTGCACCAGTTGCTGCCATCGCTCGGCATGAGCCCTCCAGTGATGAGCAAAATAAGGTCGACGAACCACCAGATCCCAAGTCCTCCAAGTGTCAGCAGCTTTCCAACTGCTGTCCCAGTGTGTCCCAAACAGAAGCGATCGACTCCGAAGCACCCCAAGAAGAAGGAATAGAGCAACGTGGTTATGAAGTAGTGTCCGGTGTACCTGGACCACAGGGAGGACAGTTATGTTGCCACATGAGAATCAAACCACTCAAAGGAATGCAATGCAAAGTGCAGCCACTGCAGGGTGTAGCCAAGTGGCCTCTCATTCTGTTTGGGTTCCTTCCTGAATGTTTATTCAGTCAGGTGTGGCCACTAGGAGACACACAAACAGCCTAGGAAACCCCAGCTATACACGAGTCTTAGAAAGGAGGCAGGGCTCACTCACCCTGCTGGGCTACGTGGGAGACTGTGCTGGTCACAAGACAGGAGCAAGGGTAGGTCCAGGCCGCAACCTTTGCCGGGCTTTCTGCAGAAAAGCCAAGGCAGGCCAGATATGCAGTCTAGGATTGGTTACTTGAATTTCAGTGGGCTGTAACCTATCAAGTGGTCCCTATGGCCTGGTACCTGACCCACACTGGGGTGATCAAGGCAAAGGAATAGTCTCCTGGTGTTTACGGCACACACAGGAAGAATGTCTCAGGACTGATAGTCTGTCTAGTAAGGACATGCTCTTGGGCAGGTCCTTTGCTAACAATTCTGTAGTCTGGGGATGGGCAGTTTCTCCACAGCTAGATTGTAACAACAATAAAAAAAGATGTTAAATACCATAATGTATATAATGTTTTAAAAGTCTTGTAATACAGTCTTACAACTACCTCCCTCTCTCTAGTTGATCTCAAAAAAAGTACTTGTACAATATGAAGGGCCTTTAAGAACAAATAGTGATTTCTGCAGAGTTGGATGGGATCAGTGCACAACAGACGGTGGTGACATAAGGGTCTCAGCCTACTCTGCAGACCTGGGCTCCTTTCCTGAGGTGCTGCTGGCTTCCTGAGTGCTCCTTTTCAAGGAAATCATGAGCACCTCATTTTCACACACTTAATGCTGTTGCCAAGTCCATCACTACACATAGCCAAGTGCTCATTCTAACAGTGTAAGTAAATGGTGTCTCTACTGGTAGAATTAACACCATATTCCTTTACGATCAGGTGATTTTTAGAGTGCAGAAACCCTATTTTCCATTGTAAAACCTTGTCCCAGAAACATGTACGCGGTTTTCTCAGGATGGTTCCTTGCCAGGAGTATTGTGCTACACCGTTACACCCAGCACCTTCACGCTGAGGATGGGGGAAACATCTGGAAGATGCAGAGAGAGTGCTAGTGTCCACTACAACAACCACTTGCCTCTGTCAGTGGGCCACACACAGGACTAAGCACATGCCCTTTTTAACACTTTGAAGAAAAAGTCATACCAATTGGTACCTCTATTCAAGTCCCAATGACCCCTTTCAAAGTATCACTTACTTTGGGCTGGGGGGGTGTCTAGCTCATTGGTAAAGCACTCGCTCAGCATGTGTTCTGGGTTCAAATCCTAGCAACACTGTACACAGTACAACAATCAAAGTAGCAACTTACTTTATGCAAGGCTTATTCTCGCGTAGAAAGGTCCTGGGGCTGGCACACTCGATTCCGTCCAGGGCCCGGCACTGCACTGAGGTGTGCTCCACATCGCTATAGGCCTGACCTCCAAACTGCGGAACCACAACCAAAACAGGTAAAATGAAAACTCACCCCCCAAAATGACACAAATATACATTCATGCTCACTAATAAAAGCTGTCTCAGTGCTGTAACTATTCTGACAAGGGTGGGTGAAGTTGTAGTCAAAGCATGGGCTTCTGTGATTACTCCAAAGACATTAGTCTATCCTAAAAGTAAATAAACTTTTTCCCTTCATGACTGGCTTCTTCAATATACAATAAAAAAACAAAACCCTTAACTAATTAAATTTCATTTCAAAGAGATGGACAGTGCATTAGTTACTTTGTATTTACAGGAAAAAGCACGTAATACAGCATTTTGGAATGGGTATTTGAGAAGTCAATGCATGTATTTATTATAAATGAACAGCATTAGAAATGAGTATCATCTGATGTGGGAATTTACTAAGGCCACAAAATCATGATCACTAGATATCTGCCGTGTACATTTTGTATAAGCTTGAATTCCAGCAAAAGTGTTCAGAGCCAGGTCTCCCCTTTGCTTAACATAACGCCAGCGGCCAGCAGAGCTGCGTACCCTCACTGCACCTCCCTCGTGCTACCCTACCATATTTCTCGAGTTTCTCCAAGCGGAGCTGGGGAATAAGGCTCATTGCCCCTCACACCTCCTGAGTTCACCGGTCTTTTGGGACTGCTGGGTGAAGAAGAGGTTTGAGTTCTGTGAGAGGATAAACTCAGTTTTTTAAAATATATTTTTATTTATTAGTTTTATTTAATGTGCAAGAATGTATCACCTGCATGTAAGTGTACCCGTGATGTGCAATGCCCGTGGAGGTCAGAAGAGGGTGTCGGATCCCTTGGGACTGGAGTTAGGACAGATGTTAGCTGTGATGTGGGTACTGGGATTCAAACCTGGGTCCTCAGCAAGAGCACTCAGTGCTCTTAACCATTGAGCCAGCCCTCAGGGTTTTTTTGGTGTTGTTGTTGTTGTTGCTTTAAGACAGCGTATAGGCCCCAGCTGGCCTGGAACTCTGAGACCAGGCTGGCCTTGATCTCACAGAGATCTGCCTGCCTCTGACTCTCAAGTGCTGGAATTAAGGGCGTGTGCCACTATACTTGGCTCAATTTTTAATTAATAAAATGGCCAAAAATTATTTCTATGCAATCCTAGTCAAGTTTTTACCAATTATCAATAGAACAAAATTTCACTATACTTAAAACATTTCTCTACACAAAATTCATAAGAGCTATTGGTTTTAGTAGTAACAACTTTATTCCTTTATGTCTGATACAGTAAAAATTTTCTTTCCCTGTAATTCTTTTAACAGTGGGTTGAAGCTTGTACTACAACACAGTGGTGAGTCCACAGTGCATAGGTGGCACATGAGAGTCTTTGGGTTTGAGCTGGGCATGGTAATGGACACCCGTGTCCCAGCCCTGGGAGGCTAAGGCAAGGAAGGGATCATGAGTTTAAGGCTAACTTGTTGTATATGATGAGACCTTGTCTCAAAAAACCAAAGAAGAAATTCATTGCATTTCGAGAGCCTGAATAGGGCTATACAGTTAGCTTTAAGGATGGTAATAGATTCTTGCTGAGCAAAGGGGCTCTGTTACCTAACACTTCTCTGGAATGCTTTAACCACCAACAAAAACATTACCAACAGACCCTATCTCCTTCCTAAGGGCACAGTGTATGTAACCTGCTTGTCATCTCCAGGGAGTGCAGGTGCAGTACAGAAAGCCCTAGTCAAATCATCTGTAGAAAAATGCATGACCTTTATTTTGTTCTTTCAGGAAAGCACATGCCTCTAAAGGACAGGTGACATTTGAGCTCAATGGCCAAAGGAATCAAATACCTGGGTGGTCTGTGCACAGGCACAGCTTTTTCCTGAGGAAACCACATGTGTTTTCAGCCATTAACCCTGGGCATGCTGGAAATTTCCAGCAGCAGTCATATATGGACTTCTATAACAAGGTTTACAGGCCTTTATGCTCTGCAGCATTTTGCCAATACTCTCTAGAAGAGTCTGAACGTGCAACCAAACACCCACCTTGAGACAGCCGTAACCAAGTTCCTGGGACGCAGTGGCATTTCCAACATGATCCACTGGGTCATCACAATCTATGAACTCATCCGGTCTGCAAATCAGTAAGATCATTATCAGCCCTACCTTTGAAAACACTGCGTGAATGCAGAGCCTTCCCATCTACCCTCCTACCCCAGGCCTCCTCCCTTCCCTCTTTCCCTCCCTCTGTACTGGGAACTGTACATGCGAAGGAAGCTGCCTACCACTGTGTTACAGCTTTAACCCTTCAAATTTAAAAAAAAAAAAAAAAAAATTGAGACAGTTAAGTTACCCCGACTGGCTGGCCTTGAACTCATCTTGGAACCCAGGTGAGCCCTGAACTTGGATGTTCCGGCCTCAGCCTACCAGTGACAGGCTTGTCCACCAGCCCCAGTTAAGAGACATTTTTTCACCAAGTTTTCTGGGCCTGTTTCATCTTGTAAACACTTTTCCAAGCGAAATGGTGTTCATAAAGCACCGGAGGGCAAACTGACAGCCACCCAAGCGGCCTCTTTGTTGAGCAAGTGATTCAGGACCTGTCCCGGCGTGGTTCTACTTCCGCCCCTCTTCCTCCTTCCCCAGGGTAACGACCAAAGGGGCAAGATTTGTGCCTACGGAGTCCCAGGCCCCCACGCCTTTGGGAAAGGGGTGCAGGAAGCGGCCTCCCCGCCCCTCCCGCGCAGCCCCACGACCAGGCCCGCCGCGACCCCCGAGCTTACAGGTAAGAGCAGAGGATGACGGGTGACTGGGGGTCGCCGTACTCCCAGGTCGGGGCGGCAGGGCCCTCCAGCGGGGCGGCGCCCGCAGACGTGAGCTCCAGCTCGGCTGTGGCGTTGTACGAGTGGCTCCGGGACACGCAATGCAGCAGCAGCAGGTTGCCGAGCAGCAGGGCCGCCTGGCCGCACAGCAGCAAGTAGCTCACCGGGCAGCCGCCCAGCACCATCTTCGCGGCGGTGATAGACGCCGGGCCGCCCCGACTCGGCCCCGACTTCAGGGCCCTCCGCGTAGGCAAGCTCGGGCCGCCTCGGCCAGCCGGCACGCAGGTGGACGCTCCGCCCGCCGGCCCCGCCAATCAGCAGCGAGCGGGGCAGGGGCGGGGCTGCGCTTCGCCTGCCCTTCAGCCCCTCCTTCCGGTCTCACGGCCGGGGCCGGCGGAGGGGCGGGATCGGTGCTAGCCCCGCCCTCCATCTCAGGCTCGAACACTCAGGCTCTGCCCACCTGCCCGGCGGAGGGGTAGGACGGGTCTTATTGGGCTCCTCCTCGGCTTTCACGGCTTTCTCTCTGCGCTTCGCGCACCCTTCAATCATTTCACTGCTCTCAGGTCCCCCACGCTCTGCGCAGGCGGAGGGGCTGGGGCCTGCGCTCGCCCCGCCCCCAGCCCTTCCAGCTCTCAAGCCCCGCCCTCGACCCCATCTCCAACATTCTGGCCGCGCCATCCGCTCCGCCCACCAGCCCAGGCCTCCAGCTCTCAGGCCCCGCCCGTCCTCCGGCTCTCAGCGAGGAGGAGCCCGAGCCGGAGCAGGGGCCGAGGGGCGGGGTCTGTCTTCGCCCCGCCCTCCAGCCCCCGCCA